GGCGCCGTCTTTCTTTGCCAGGAAGAGCTGAAGGTCCTTGGCGTCGCCCGTGAAAGTCATTGCATTCTCCGCCTTGATCGCCTTCTTCAAGTCTCCCACCAGCTGGCTCGCGTCGATGTCCACAGGGAAAGCGCTTCCAGCCACACCAACGATCGCACAAACAAGCTTGACCATCTTTTCTCGAGACGGCGAGTTCTGGAATGAGGAAGAAGGAGGGAGAATTTCTGGCGTACTTAAGCGGAAAAGAAAGCGCGTGACAATGATTTTCAACCAATGATGAGACGCCACGTCGCGCTGGTCCGAACTAATTCTCAAGGTTGCGTCCAGCTGCCTCGAAAGAACGTTCCAGGACTGGTCTCGCAGGTAAATTACGGAAAGTAAAAAAACTGCCAGCGTAATGTTCCATGTCGTACTACTAGCGTTTTCGTGGGAAATGCCTGATGCCGGGTTTCCAGATTCTGAAAAATTCAGGCGATTCTGCGGGGCCCAAAAAACTGAATTCGGAATTACTACAGCGATGGCGCTCTCTCGGAGTGAGTAATCGTTTGGCCTGGTTAAAAGATTTGTACACTCTGGTTGCTTATACAAGTGTTTGGCCTTCTGTAGCCGCACAACTTTGTCAGTACAGCCATGTGTGTAATTGACGCACATGCTGCCGAACTGTACTGTGATACCGTACTGTACGTATTACGAAGTAGTACCGATATTAGTGATTGGATACTTTAAGAAGCATGTTTCCTGTTCATAATTTAAAAAAGAGTATGCAACCGTTATAACTAGTTTGCACTGCTCGCCACAATCGGGGTAGGAAGCTGAAGGTTGCTGCGCAACAGCAGTAGCGACTCAATAGCTAGGCCTTTTCGGTCGTCGTGGGCATCATGCTCTTGCTTGTGATCGGCCAAATAGTGCCTCTCCATTCCTGCATGGATAAAAACATCTTAGAATATCGCATCCGCGTTATTGATTCACTAGATGATCTTCATACCGGGATGATCGGGCCCAGATCAACGTCGTCTGTATCCCAGCTGACGATTTTGTGCACTGCGGGAATCATGTGGTCGAACACAAACACAAGCGCCAGGGTGATCTGACCCAGCACGGCGTCGCCGAGCTCCATGGGTGTGTGTGGCTTGTACATCATTCTCTTATGCTTTTCTCTCAAGTTTTGTTGGTCTTGGTCTGGATGACGCAAATTGGTAACTGAGTCTCAAAGGCACCCATTTCATTGACCACCATTCGTGATGAGCATGTGTAATTATTATAGCAGCATAGAAATGATTAACGTCAACTTCAGCCTGCGAAAAACCCACTTGCCAATCGCCTCTTTTGTAGATTTCAAGAAGATCTTTCATTTAGCAAAGCGATATACACATTGCGTCATCATCGCTTTAAGTTGTGACTGTTGCTGCGATGCTTAAAAAAAAACTTCTTCAACAAAATATGGGAATTCGTTTTTTGCGTTGGTAGTGCCGTGTCGGTGGGCCATCGTGTCGTCGGACGCGAAGCGAACAGGTGACGACGGCGACCATTTTGAAGCGCGTTGAAACGAGTGCCACGTCGGAGTCGTGCCAACTGGTACACCTCGGGAAGTATGTCGTATGACTCTCGCTTTTTCATAAAGCTCTTTAGGTCGAGCGATCCAGGCTAAAAATTCAATCGCCGTCGTCCCCGAGTGACCCTCTGGCAGCAAGGTCTAGTAGATGTATCTGTGCTCCAATGTTAGTCTTACTAGCCTTATTTCGAGGTAGTACAGTGACAAGATGACGTACACAGAGTCAGAGCGAATCTGTAGCTGCTTAAGCTTGTTTGGTATC